CCRGGTGAATGGGCCTGGTSACCCAGCACTTCCAGGAATATMAAGGCAAAAACCCCTATACAGGATTATACAGTCAAACTGGGCTACAAACTAACTTTGAAAACTAAAGACCCTGACCCAATCATCATAAGTAGATGGAGAAACTTGCTAGGACAGGAAGCAGATAGAATCACCCAAATTCCCTGGGATAAGTTTAAACGTATCAGACCAGTCAAGATCAGAAGYTTTCAGTGGCTAATTGTCTACGCAGCACTACCGGTGAACCAATGGTTACATACTAGACGTAAAGCCTCAAATCCGGACAGCTCAGAGATATGTACAGTCTGTAAAGAAGGATTAGTAGAAGATATAGTGCACTGCCTAATTCAATGCAAAGAAGCGACTGAATACTGGAAAAGAGCCTCTGCACTCTGGGATTCTTTCTTCTCATCTCCCTTCCCCAACCACCCTCTCCAACTCCTTCTGTTAACCAATAACCCCGTTCTAACACGAGTGTCAGAAAGGATCTGGTTTGAACTCATCAGGAAAGTGACCTTGTGGGTCATATGGAAGGAGAGATGCAGCAGAACAATTGAAGGTCACTCAAATCCAAGCGAGAAGCGAGATTCTTTGCAGATGGCAGAAGTTGAAACTAAGGGAGACAGATGACGAAGAGCAGCGGAGAAAGACGAGGCTGAGTTTTTGTGAAAACTGGTTGGTTGAAGGCAAGATTGCAGAATTGCGGGAAGACCGGCTTGGCTGGAAGGAATGGCATAACTCACTCCAGGAAAGAGCCTCTCAACAACAAGCGACTTCAGAAGCCTAAGTCACAATGCAAGATGCAATTCCAATCAAGCCCAAGAGAAGTCGGATAGCAGAGGTCAATACCTGGAGACCATGGTCAAACCATCCTTCCCGTCCAGATCACTTAAGGACCATGGCAGGGCAGTCACCCAGGAGAAGGATTCAGGACTGGGAAGATGATCCACAGCAGACGAGAAGGCTCAAGAGGACAAAGGATCATCTCAAGATTGGTTACATATGGGGGGTCTCTCTCTAGATATTACGATGATCTGACAGACCAGTACAATGGGCTGAGAGGAGAGAGAAGGTTAAGGCAAGCTGACAGTCAATCCTCCACCACACTGGAGTAATCAATGCTGTTCAGGGGTCCTTCGGCCGGACGGAAGGAAGCGTGTGTGAGTTCTTTTGATGTAAAACTCTATGACTTGCCAGTGGAAAAGGAACCGGACTGACGCTCCCCAGAATAGAAGGAGCCAGGACCCTAAGGCCCTGTTTTGTGAAAAAAAAAAAAAAGGTTCGCAAACTCGACACTACCCCAGATTAAATGCAGTTAGGCCCCTCCCCGTGCCCCGTCTCTCTGAGGGTCCCCCTGCTGCGTGTCTGGGTGCTGCTAGGAAGCCTCCCCGCGAGCAGGGTGGCCCCCACATAAAGACCATGGTTTGGGGGGGTGGGCCCCCTTTAGCAGGTCCTCCCTTGGTAGACGATCAACGCCACAAGGGTTGGGCTGTTTCCCTTTTCTGATCTGGTCTCCCCTCCTTCTTTGGATGTACAAACATGCTTGCCGGTGATAAGTAACCGAACTGCAGCCCCCCAGAATAGAAGGGGCTTTGTGTTATATAAAAAAAGAATTAAAAAAAAAGAAAAGGAAATGCAGTTCCACGTGCAGATGCCAATGCTCATGATCCGCACCTGTGCAGAGGCCAAGGTGCATTTTGACCGGCCTAGTTCTGTCCCTCACCCAAGACGAAATAGCGTTACAAAATTACTGACCTGATTGCTGAGATGAAAAGTTGGGATGCCATAAGCACCACCACCTAGGTGGGATGTCTTGTGGACCACAGACAACTAAGGGGCAGGCCCTGCTGGTTGTATATTCATGCTATGAAAGCATGCACCTGGCTTTTTTTCCAACCAGCTTCCTGCTTTCCAAGCACAAACATAGTACCAGTGGGGCCTGCCCCTAACCCCCTCAAGATCCAAGACAGTTCCCTCCCTCCCTACTTTTCCCCTCAACTCCTCTCTTTTTTCCAAAACATACCATTTCTCGACTTATGTGTGTCATCCTTGCGCAGAGAGTGCACCGTAAGGAGCTAGGACACAGGAGAGCGCTACCTCCCCCCCCCTCCTCCTCCTCCTTCCCTTGAAATCACCCCAGGCTTTTAACCACCAAAGGCAGCTCAACAGCTAAGTTTCCTCTCTGTTATGGGAAGTGACATCCCCTTCCACCTTCCACTCCAGAATTTCCTCCTTGACATAGGTTTATGGGCTCGCCTTCAGGCAACTCCACCTTAGACCTTTGCCCATCTAAATGGTGTGCTCTCTATCTCTACACTACGCTTCTTATCCATTGCAACTGAATCCTTTTTGCACCCTCTGGTTCACCTCTACATTCCTTCTTCTACACGGATCCGCTTTCCCCTTTCGACTTGACCCCCCAGCCCCTAAGAATGATAGTAGGCCCTTCCAGCCCACCCATCCCCTTCTTTCGTGTTTTTGTTTTTTAGGAAAAGGGCACCGGCCTTCAACTCGCTGGCGCTAGGTAATTCAGAATTATTTTATTATGTTCACAACTTCACACATGATATCTCGATTCGAACTTCGGTCTCTATCTCTACAGCTTTTCTGCGGCCATTGGATACTTTTCCAGAAGCTTCTCTTCTCAGCGTCCGAGTTGTTTTAACTACACGAACTCCTAATTCACTCTGTTGTTGAGAGTTTGGGCACTAGGTAACGAACTCGGACGTAGAGGGTTCGCACAGGAGAAAGCGTACAGACTGTCCGCAGGGAGCAGATCCAAGATGTGGGGACACCTAAGGATCCCAAGTTGGATGGCTCTACTCATGCTTTTCCACTCCCCCTGCCTATCAGGCCTCGCTCTCCTACCTTCACATCGCCATTCCCAATCCCTTCCAACCATTCCTGATGAATTTCAACCCTTCCCTCCCTTTTCCTCGTTGGATTGGGCCATCCCTTTCACTCATATGCAGCACTGTCTGTTGGAGTTTATTGATTCCTTTTGCACTTAGGGTATCAACTACTGGGCCAGGAAGCTGACAAACTAACACAGATTCCATGGAAGAAGTTTACAACCATCAGACCGATTAAAATCAGAAGCCTGCAGTGGCTTATCACATACGCGGCGCTCCCAGTGAACCAATGGCTTCACAAACGACGTCACAGAAATGACCCCACCGGCTCGGACCTATGTTCAGTTTGTACGGAAGGGGCGCAAGAGGATGTGATACAATGTCTTATTTACTGCATCGAGGCAACAGAATACTGGGCACGGGCCACAGCTCTCTGGCATTCCCTCTTTCATGCCCCCTACCCCGAATATCCCATCCAAATCCTTCTCTGGACTAACATCCCTGACCAGCTCAAGAAGACGGAACGGTTATGGTTCGGCTTAATCAGGAAGGTGACACTATGGGTCATCTGGAAAGAGAGATGCTGCAGAACCATTGAAGGGCTATCCAACTCAAGAGAGAAGGTATGGGCAGAAACGAAAACAATGATACAGACTGAAATTCTTTGCAGATGGCAGAAGCTAAAACAGTCCATGCCCGATGACGCGGATCTACAAGAAAAGGCTAAGAAAAAGTTCTCCAGGATGTGGCTAGTGAACGGCAAGCTGGCAGAATTAAGGAATGACCGAATTCTGCTGGAAAGACTGGCACAATTCAGAGTCAAGCAGGAGATTCCAGACTGCGCCTGCTTCAGTTACACAGCTAAGCTGAAGACAGGGGAAACAAAAAGAGAGATAGGGGAGTTTTAAGATGGGCGTTGAGAGAGAAGGACCGGAGTCAGTCACAGATGTTACTAAACAAGTTCAAGAGCTGCAACTGCTGACTAAGGGTAGGGGACAGAGGTTACATCAAAACAAAACTCCACACATATTGTGGAAGGACAGGAAGGGGCCGACTACGGGGCAAACCACTGCACTGGGAGGACTTGCATAACCCAGAAGACAGGCAGGTGAACACAGAAGGTGACAGCAACGGTGATGCGTTCGAGCCAAACAAAAACAGGTACATCAGGTCAGGTGCAAGAGCCTGAAGAAGATTCTCGGGCATGAGCAGTGGGTAAAAGTACTCAGCAACAGCAGCACAAGACACAGAAGGGAACACAAGGGGAAGAAAAGAAGATAGATTTGCTAAGGAAATCTGGAACAAAAGAGGCGGCAGAAGGATGGGATACCAATACGACAAACGGGGGAGGGTTTAGGGTTCAGGGCGCTCAAACAGCTGACAAAGAGCCATCAAAGAGTTTAGAACATAAGGGCCGAGTCAATGAATACAGATCGAAATTGGGGGCTGCTAGGACGGAATATAGCAAGGATCAACAGGGCGCCAGAACATAAGGGGGTCCAGAGTTTGCTGAGGGACGGATCGGGGTTTTGAAGGAGCTAGATCCTTTCTTGGTAGCCAGGTTTTATATGGCAGGTCTCTATAACAGACCTGAGAGGAAAGGGTATAGCAAGGCAAGCTGACAGTCAATCCTCCATATA